TTTATAAAGATATATGTGGGTGGGAGTGTAAATGGTAAGTGGTTGCATTTTATGCTCCGTACCACTTCATTTTAGAACGGATTTCCGTTATTCCCTCTGTCATATTTTGTTTTTCTCTTAAAATATCCTCATCCTTTATTGACTTGAAACACACAAGTATTATGGCTTTAGTTTCCCTTTTTATGGCTTTAGTTTCGCCTTTTCCTTCCTTCTCATTTAAGTTTAGGTATTCAATGCCTTTCTCTAAGGTCAAAGGATACATTGTCTAGGAGATTAATATTTACCAGAAGAAAAATTTTATATGTCATACTTAAACCTAAGTTTCATAAAAGCATCTTAAACGTCTTAATCAGGGTAATTATCTCAAGAATTTATCTATCTCATACAAGCAATATAAACAAACAACATGTAGAAGAGGACGAAAACATTGAATAAGGCAAAGCAAGTTGAGCCCCCTTTTTCTATTTATTTATTTTTATTTTTTTATATTTTTTAATTACACATTTTTTTATATAAGTGAAATTGAAATGAACAATATAGTTCTCCTCCACACTTTTTGGTAAAACAAAATGTCCTCATTATGGAGGATACATGCATAAAACACATAAAATGACACAGCAAAAACACGCCAAAGGAAAAAATGAAAAAAAAACAAAGACAGAAAATCCTAAGGCCTTCCCAACCTAATAAGGGTACAAGAGTTGAATTCGATTTTTTTTTTACCACTTCCGTCCATACGTGCTGGTGCCTGATCGCGTGCAGTTTTGTCCCAGTCAAAACTTTGACCGCAAGATCTACATGTGATTGCTGTAAGCACCATTTACTCCAAAAAATTGCTTCTTCTTCTTCTGCTTGAGAAGACGATGTGACTGGTGTTTTGCCTTTCCTCTGTCTTTGCACTTGCACATAGGATGAGAAATGCAGATCTAATGTTTTAATAATCAGTATGGAAATAAGATCTCATTTTATTATGACCGGACCTAAAATTCAACATGAATAACATAGCAATAATTTACTTTGTATTTAAACATTCCCGGCATTATTTGTCGTCGACCGTTTCTTTTGGATTTTACAGTCGGCTATTTTCTCTGTAGTCCCTAATTTTTGCCTTGGAATAGAAAGAATTTCCAAGCAGAATATATTTTCTTATTTTTTTGTGTCCTTACTTTTTGCCTTGGAACAAATGATCCCAAGCAGGATCTTATTTTGATTAATTGCAAATTTTTTTTTTCAATCTCACGCTTATTTTCAAATAATGCGAGAAATGTGAAAATTCAAAGGAATCGCAATTCACTATAAACGATTGCATTATGTTATTAAAAGGCCGAATGCGCAATTCCACTATTTTAAACGATTGCATTATGTTATCAAACGAATAAGACTGGTTCCAATTTCTCAAAATCAAGATCAAAAACGGTCCATTTTACCGAAAAAATTAGCTCTTATTAATGCCATGGCTGAAACAAAAAAATGTTATGTGGTGCATGAATGTTCCACATAACATTTAGTTAAACAGTTTATAAAGTCACAACATATGTACAGTTTATAACACACAGGGAATGGGAGTTGGGAAATGCATGCCTTCCAACCTTATTTCTCCCGCACACGAATTCCGTTCGCAATAATTTTGACATCTGTTTCCTGGTCTAATCTCGACAACCAACAGGAGATTTTGAGATTGACGATATAAGCTCTCGAAATGAATGCGACAGAATAACAGCAAACAGATTCAGGTTTTCCTTAGGGAAAGTAACTAAGGTTTTAACTACATGCATGGGCTTCAGCTCATTGGGCTTTACAAATCTGGGTTCCGCAAACAGGATTCGAGCTTTTTCATGGGCCTACTCCTTTTGACGCACCTTTAAGGCACTAGGCTTGCGGTTGGTAAAATTGCTAATTAGGCTTGCGGTTGGTTTTATAAAAATTTGCTAAATTTCTCGGATAGATGTGCCATTAAAACGCATGGTCTTAAGCTGGATCTACCTTCCAAAGTTAAACAACCAATACTCGGAGGGTAATTTTGCGTAGAAAGTGTGTGAGGAAGGAAAGGAAAATGTAGTGTGATGAAAGCTTAGAAAATAAAAAATAAAGGAAAAGCAAATAAACAAACAAGGACGATTAAAGAATTAAATAAACAAACAAGGACGATTAAAGAATTTTCCGACGGCTTTCTAACCAATTTACACTTTTTAGAAGACATAGGTTTTTAGAGTTAATTCCTAATTATAGCCGACTAATTATTAAAAAAATAACCGGAGATTAGCAGGCTAAATCCCCAGCAGAGTCACCAATCTGTTTTCATCGAAAATCCCCTCAGAGGACCCGAAAACATTCTTTTTGTGATTTTTGATAAAATATTATTATTTTAATGCGGTGCCGATAAATCGGTCTTATAAACAATTTTGAGTCGCCACCCATTATTTAGGCAATGGGACCGTTTTTATAAAAATGACTTAATTTTAAACCCAATTTTGTTTTAAGGCCAAATTATTAAAAGACTGGTCAAGCGCACCAATGCGATTCTAGATAAGAGAATTGGGTACGTCGGCCCGTTGGAAGCCGACGCTTGGAAAACCGGTCTCTATTAACCTATGATTTCTAATTTATTTTAATTAGAAAAGCCAAATTATTTATTTAAACCTAACCCAAGTGAATCGAGTTCTTATATGGAAAAACCTAAACCCAAGTGTGAAATCGAGTTCCCTTATATGGAAAAAATTATTTAATCGTTCCCCAAAATCAAATCTAAATTATTCAACAAACAACAAACCATTCAAATTTGCAAAAGCAATTAAAACCACAGCAATTAAAAAACCAAAATAACTTAAAAAGAACAACCCGCTCTTGCACTTATGTTTCCCCCGCTCTTGCCTTATGGTTCAAGGCGGGCGACAAACCGAGTCAAAAATATTAAATGAAATAAATAAATGACCCGCTCTTGCCTTATGGTTCAAGACGGATAACATACCGGATCCAAAAATTTATAAATTGATTCAGAACTAAATCCATAAACCAATAAAAATAAAATCATGCATAATTATTATTTAATACCAAAAATATTATTAATGAATATGCAAATTAATCTTAAATATCAATAAATCAACAAATTTACTCCTAAACATTTAATTATTATTTTTTTGTCTGAATATGCAAATTGTTAATAAATCTACAAATTTAATTTCATTTTTCAAATTTAATTTACATTTTTTTATTTGAATAAATTTCATTTTTTTTATTTGAATATAAATTATAAAATTCATATAAATAAACACATAAAATTACATTTTTGTATTTTAAGTTTAATTAAACTATGATCTGTTTATATTTGGGCATTCTCAGATTTATTGAAAAAATTATGTTTTATTTTTGTACAAAATTTATATATTTTTTTATTATTTCCGGAAAAATCTGGATGAACAGTTACTGTTCATTGAATAAACAGTTACTGTTCATCGATCAACAACAAAAGTTATATATTTTTTATTATTTTTGGAAAAATCTAGATGAACAGTAACTGTTCATTGACAAACAGTTACTGTTCATCGATGAACAGCTGCGTGATTTTTACCCAGAATTCATTTTTAAGTGATTTTTTACATCATTTTTTGTTTAAATGTGATTTAAACATCCATTTTTTGTTTTTTAAAATGTTGATTTAAAGACATATAAAATGGCCCAAATTATGAAGCTTTAAATTACTAAAACACAAAAAAATAGCAAAAAAACAAAACAAAAAAAATACTGTTAAAAAACAAGCTACCCTAACCCAAAAAATGTTAAAGAAAATACCTAATCCTCAGATTGAGAATTATAAATGGATCAAATCTCCACGAAAAGCTTTGTTTCCAAGGATTTGAAAGTGTTCCTTTTTACTTTCTTTTTTGATTTTTTCTTCTCTTTATGTTGTGATCTTCACCTAAAAATTGATATCTAATGCCAAATTCTCTTTCAAAAAATCAAAAAACTCGACTTAAGGAATTTTTTTTGGTTGAGAATAATTGTGGCAGGCAACAGTATATTTTTTTAGATTTTGCCGTTTGTGGAGTTGTGGAAAGTTGTGTAGAAGTTGTGGAAGTTGCTCGAGAAAGAGATTAAATTTTATAGAGCTTAGGTCAGTGATACCTGTTAGCACGCAGAATTCACCTAAAATTGATATCTAATGCCAATTTCTCTTCAAATCAACTCATAAGAATTTTTTGGTGAGAAAATGTGGCAGCACAGTATATTTTTTTTAGGATTTTTGCCGTTTGTGGAGTTGTGAAGTTGTGAGAAGTTGTGAAGTTGTGAGAAAGAGATAAATTTATAGAGCTAGGTCAGGATACTGTAGCACGCAGATACTGTAGCACGCGGCTACTGTAGCACTCATTTTTTTTTTTCTTAATCTTTGGATTAAAAGACTTCTAGATAGCATTAACCCATTCATTTTTGTGTCCTTATCGGATCAGACGGGGCATAAAAAACACGCGTCAACAGGCCCAACTCACAATTTGGATTTGAATTGAGACTGTTTTATACTTGCAGCCTACACGATCTGATTTAATAAAAATTTAAAAGTTTTGAAAATAAAAATTCAAGGTATTACAATTGTATAAAGTAAAAACATATATGGTAAATAAAAGAATATTAAATTTTCATCTATAGCCTTATTATATAACATTAAAATAATTAAAAATAAAATATATTTATTAATATATAGTTAATGTTAATTATCCATTAAGTATAACATTTAAACTAAAATTTAATTGGTTGTTAATAAGGTTATTTTATAATATTTTAAATTTTATTAAGGGTATTATCGTAACGTAATTATCTATTAAGCATAATATTTAAAATAAAATTAATTAGTCATTAATGAGATTATTTTAGAAGATTTAAAATTTTATTAAGGATATTATAAGTAATCACATTATCCTCTGTTCTCACTTTTATATACAGTATAAATATAATTTTATTTAAATAATCACTAATTATTATTAAATCTCACTAATTCTATTACAGTTGTGAAAAGCGCGCCCGAGGCATGCCTGACTCAAGGCGACAGCCTTAGGGATTTAGAGTAGAAAGGCATGCGACCTACACTAGGTGCTCGCTTCAGGGCAGAGATGCGCACCTGAACCCAGGCGCAATAAAGGCGAGCTTAGGAGATTTTAGGAGCCAGAAAAAAATCGACCCAAACTCACGTGCTGCATGCCTGTGAGTGGAGGATCTCAGCTTAATCGGTGCCGACGGCAAGATTTTATACCAAGAAAAGCTTTTCTCATCTCTTTATGGGTGTTTTATCAAGCAATAATTCTTCAATCTCAGCCAAAAAAAGGTAGGATTTTTGAATTTTTCCCTAAATTTTTAGGGTTTTTTTCTCTCTTTCTTTGTGGGTATCTCCACTCTCATCTTCTACCTATTGTTTGAAATCCAAAAGCTTGATTTACAAGTCGTTATGCTGCCCATATATTTTTTTTTCATTTACAGTTCATTGCTTCATTGTTGCTACTTGCTGAAATTTTCCTCTTTTATGTGTTTTATTGCTGCTGAGTTTTTGTTTTTATAAACTTCCTTGCTGCGTCCCTGTTATTATGTTTAATTGCTGCTGTTTTTTTGTTGTATACTTCTTTGTTGCGTCCCTGTGTCCCAGTTATTCTTACAACTTTACATTTATATATTTAATTTGAAATAACTTATATATACACACAGGTATTTGAAATAGAATAGAATTTATATATAACTTATATTTATATATTTTATTAGGATTTAAAGAATATAATTTGTATACACATATATTTGAAATAACTTATTAATATACATATACATATAACTTATTAATATTTGAAAAAACTTATTAATACACACACACACAGACACACACACACATTGGACTTGTGTTGATTTGGTTGATATTTGATTCCTTACTTAATATGTGTGTTGGTTTTGTTTCTGTTCTTGATGTAATCTTTTAATGTATGTGCTCGATTTCGTTTTGTTTTGTTCTTTGTTGATATGGATTAGAGTTGTTGGTATTTTAGATTTCCTGAGTGGATTTGTTGTGTATGTGATTGATGGTTTTCATTTGTTTGTTTTAATGAGTGTCGTTGATTGTGATTTGTTGTTGCTATGATGGCTCGGGGATCGTTGTGTGGTGTATGATGAATCGTTTATATCTACGTGAGTGTTCGTTTGGCTGGTTGTGCAAGCTTGTGTTAAGTTTGTTTAGGTTTCGTTGGACTGGATTTATGATTGATGCAGGTGTTTGTGTGTCGCGTATTTGTTTTTGTGAGCGTGCACTTAATGGTATTATTGGTGGGGTATTTAATGACTTTTTAGGTATTTTTTGAAGTGGCGATGTAACTGGGAGTTGTATTGCGTATTTGTTTAGCTGTGATTTTTAAAGCTATTTGGTCTTTTACAATCTTGGGGGGTTCGGGGATTGGTTGATTTTGTTAATAAGTTTGGAGGTTTTTTACGGTTGTGGGGCTTCCTGGAGTGGGATAGAGTTAGAGTTATTTAGCTTGTGTTAATTCCTTTCGCGTTGTATTTATTTTGTTACTTTGATTTTGTGAGTTATATTTTTTGTGACTTGGGATTTTAATATTGATGCTTGTTATTGAGTTTTTGGTGGATTTGTGTATCTTGGGAGTTGCATGGTATTGTTGATTGTGAGGGTTTTTCTTCTTTTGAGTTGTGGCGCTTTTGAAATGAATGGTTAAGTTTTCTTGTTTCATTCTTGTTGGTTTAATGCTTTAGGATGTGTTTGTGAGTTAATTTAGTATGTGGTAGAATTTATTTGTTTTTTGCAGTGACGCCATTCATCTGCTGCCGTCTTAGGGCGGGCAACGCGGGTTGGAGGAAACCTCCGCACCCTGTCTCTTTATGATCCGGTGAATGTGCTTGGCGCTGTCTCCGTAGAAATTTTCCTTCTTTATGTGTTTATTGCTGCTGGTTTTTTGTTTTTATAAAAAACTTCTTGCTGCGTCCCTTGTTATTATGTTTTAATTGCTGCTGGTTTTTTTTTGTTGCTATACTTCTTTGTTGCCGTCCCCTGTGTCCCAGTTATTCAACAAACTTAAACATTTATATATTTAAATTTGAAACATAAACTTAGTGATAACACACAGGCGTATTTGAAATAGAATTAGAATTTATATTGATAACTTATATTTATTATCAATTTTATTAGAGATTTTAAAGAAGTCATTTAATTGGTATAACCACATAGTATTTGAGAATAACTATTAAAGTCATCTACATTATTATCACTATAAAGCTTATTAATATTTTTGAAAAAAATAATCTATTATCCCACCCCCCACAACACAGGGACCACACACACACAAAATATATATAGTATATATATAATTGCATGTTTAAAATTATTTTTAAAAATTTATTATAACATTTATACTTAAAAAAATATATATATATATATATATTGCATGTTTTAAATTATTTTAAAATTTATTATACATTTATACTTAAAATTTTTAAAGTGCTACAATAAACCAAATATGTAATTGTTTGATTGTGAATATTATATTACATATAATTCATGAAGCTGAATTGTGTTTTAATTATTTACAGGTCTTTGTTTACGGAGTCTTCTAGTGCCTCTGTGAGTGATAGTGATGTTAGAAAAGACCCCGGTTAGAAATATGTCCGTTTAGCCAATCCAAGCAACAAAAAATAATATCACAATTCCGTGCTTCTGCTTCTCCCTCTGCTGTTGCCTTTGCAGACGATGATGAGCTTGCTCTGGATCATGGGAACTGGGACGGGTTTCCATTCTCAAAATGAGTAAGTTCATTTGATGAACAGTCTCTGCTGGAAATTCCGTGCTGCTCAATATTGCAAGCTAAAGATTCATTTTGATGATCACAGTTGTTGTAGTCCTCATTTGATAAGTTTACAACCTTGAATTTCTCATTGTCACAAACCCCAGATTTATTTTTGTCACCGCATCATTTTGGTCCTCATTTGGTAACTTTAAATCTTCAAGATGTCCATTATCAAAATCCTCTAATCTATTTTGATCGCTTGCTTTTTTTTCATCTTCGTGTGGTAAGTTTACACCTGTGAGGTTGTCACCATTGAAATCACTGGATTCAACTTGATTCCTCCCATTGTTTTGGTCCAAAGAGAATTCGCCTACAGAAGGAAGAATTGCTTCATGACTTGAGCTGCTAGATTCATTACCTTCAGAAACATGATCAAATTTATTCGTCTCTTCAGCATCTGTTTCAGGTAGGTTAGATGTGCTTTTGGCATTTTCCTTTCGAATTTTTGCTGCATGAGGACAGAGGATTTAACTAAAACTGATTAAAAACTTCAGACTACAAGGGTTAATACTAATAGTAATTTCAATAAAACAAGTGCAAAGAGGGGAGGACAGAGAGTCCATGACAGGAAAAATAGTGGCATTGAACCATGATTATGTAGATTCAAGGATAGTCTATTATATAGGTAAGGATCTAGACAACAAGGAGTTGACCATTATTCAAAGCACCAATTTTCCAAATTTAACCAATTCCAGGAGAGTGATCACATTTTTTTTAACTCTATCACAGTAAAGAATTTAGTAGAAAGAGTTCACAAGAGACCTATCATTAAAAAGACCCATCTTCAATTGTAGAATCCCTAAGATAAATACCTCTTAAACTGGTCTTGGCTTCCCGAATGAATCATTAAAATGATAGACCATTCTTGTTTCTTAGCATTCGTAACTAATAGCTTGAATTCATAAGATTCTTACCTTGGAGACGTGTGCCACAGCCACCACATTCATAGACAGGAATATCCGGCAACTCTGGAAGGATCTGCCGACATCGAGGACATCTAACTAACCGAATCTTTGCACTCATTCCACTGATCATCTTCCTCCAAGTTTACAATTGTAAACAGTCTAATTTGTCTTTTGTCTCTACTTCTGATATGGCTAATTACCAAATAGGAGATTCAACCATGAATTGAGACCTTATTTTAAGACTGTGAGGCTTGACCGTCTGCAATGGGTAAATACATAGGCACGTATTAGACAAATATAATGTAAGAGAACCACCAAGAATGCAAAATTGTGGGAGCATAGTGAAAAAATTAAGTTCTAGAAGTGGTTTAACATTAAGAGAACCTACATTTTAGAATGTAGGCACACCTTTAGTGATCTTTGAAGAGTGCTAAGTTGGGAAGTTTCACTAATTTCAGGGACATTAACTTCTATCTAAGTACTTATATTTATAATATTTTCTTCGAAGTCATTTTATGTTATTCTTGAGCAATCCAAGATGCCACACTCCAATGAAAAATGATAGATGAAGCAGTTAAGGCTGCTACCATTTCTTATTGGATATTGCTCACCTACTCAACCGGAGCAAATGATAAAATGACATCCTATTAGAACAAGTCACCTTCAGAACCAGTGAACCAAACCTAGTCCGGCATGTTTTTCCATGAAGAAGCAGAAAAGTGAGAACTAATACCATTTGGCTGAATATATTGGTTGTCTGTTGAAGCTTTTTGAGAGCAGAACAATGTGTGAGGGAAATTAGAGACCAGGTCAGTAGAATATTAAATATTCTTGGCGATATGAATCATGAATCTAAATAGAAATAAACTGATGAAGACTTTTAAAATTAAAGCATATAAGTATTGCAGGTAAAAGCAAATCAATGAAATTCATACTTTTAGGAAGAGATAAGATCTGTGGAATAAAGTTAGGATGATTCAATTTTCAAAAACAAGAAGGGGCAAATTAAAAACACAATAAAAAAAAAAAAGAAAAAGAAAAAGAAAGAAAACAAACAAGAAGAAGTTGCTGCAGTTAACCGTCAACGTTAAGCAGACTGATATAAAGACAGTGCTAAAATAAGGCAAAAGAGTACAAGAACTTACCTAAGTTGATAAAACTTTAGGCCGTATAGATCCACACATTGGGGTGAATGGTATATATATACACACACATACATGAGCAACAAAGCGACAAAAAACAAGCATAACATGTTTTTTTTTTTTCTATTAACATAAAAGAACAGAAACATAAAATAAAAAATAAAAAAAAAGCTAAAAATTTTGTGAATGAAATTGAGAAATACAAAGAATGAGAAGCAGCTTAATTAGATCTATCAGCATATAAAGATCCACATACCCTTTTTAGTCTAAGACTACAGAATCCAGAGAATTCAAGATTTTGAAGAAACCTGAGCTATATTTCTAGCTATAAGGACAGATATATAATGCAGAAACTGAAGAATTTTTGAAAATGTAAAAGAAAGAAAGAGGGGGGGGGGATGAGAAATAGCAGCGAACCTGAGGTAGAAAGAGAGAGATTAATTTGAAGAAATGAAAATTCTTTTCGTGACCGCAAAGTTCACTCATGACCTTCTCTCTTTTTGTTTTTGTTTTTTCCTCAATAATTTTCTTTATTTTCTCTTTGGTCGATCTTCTTCTATCACAGAGACAAATATGGAAACCAAACCATATTTCTGCTTTAACTTTAACTCAAGTTAGAGACCAAAGACTATATATATAGAAACAGAAGAGATTTTGTGAGAAAATGTTAAAAGAAACGATAGAGGGGGGGGGATGAGAAATAGCAGCGAATCCTGAAGGTAGAAAGAGAGAGATTAATTTGGAAGAAATGAAATTTGTTCGTGACCGAGCAAAAGTTCACTTCATGACCTTCTCTCTTTTGGTTTTTGTTTTTTTCCTCATAATTTTCTTTATTACATTCTCCTTTGGTCGAATCTTCTTACTAATCAAACGAGAAGACAAATATGGAAACCAAGAACCATGATTATCAGCTTTAGACTTTAAACTCTGTTAGAGACCTATAAAGATCTATTAATAATAATAATTAGTTAATAGGTATCAATTATATATATTAAATAACGGAAGTCGTAGAATTATCTTATATTCGTGTATAAAACGGGCTCTTATTCGTTTGGGAAAAAAAATAAAGATAGATATTTCCAAGTCAAACACATACGACCAATGAAAAGCCAAAAGAAGAGAAAACCAGTGGCCATTTATGGACACACAGAGGAGATGATGATCATACTATTTTCTTGGGAAGTTCGGGGCAAAGATATATATATAAGAGTCGTGTTTCTTTTCGTGTATGAGAAGGCTCTTTCTTGGGAAAAAAAATAAAGAAGAAATTCCAGTCAACCATAGACCATGAAAAGCCAAAAGAAGAAAAACCCAGTGCCAGTTATGGACACACAGAGGAGATGAGATCTTACTATTATGTTGGGCAGTTCGGGGCAAAGACAAGTTATTGATTAGCGGCAGAGACATTGGAATTAAGAGCATTCAAGTGGACGCCGACTTCTATTTAAAGCTCCTTCCCACTTCTCTGCTTACAGTTTACGTATTATCCTACGTGGCTTTCTTTCACGGGCACGACCGTTATTTTGATGCTTGCATTTCTTTTTTTTATTTTGATAATGAATCTTTATTGTTTTTTTCTAACAATATAAGACTAAAAACATATCTTAAAAGTTAAAACTCTTTAATCTTTGTGAGTTTTGAATATTGAATTTCAAAATTTTAAACACTGAATTAATACCTCTGTTTCAATTTACCAGTAGTTATCTGTCATTTTTCTTAATAATTAGTGTAACAAAAGGAAATCATGTCCCTTCAACAAGTTTTTAAATCTGCATATTGTGTTTCCAAAAAAATAAAATAAAATAAAATAAAAAATAAAGAAAAAACAAGTTCTTAAATCTTATGATCATATTGTGTTCAAGTCAACTGAGATGGAATTTAGAAGAAATGTCGTCGGTTTGACTAAATTGGGTTCACAGCCCAACTGTTACTCGCCACGTGTCAATTTGTTGTCCAGGCAATCGTGTCCTGTGTGTATAAAATAAGCTGTAAAGCTCAAAGCAACTTCCCCAATTTTTTAATTTTCAATTTTTGGAGAACACGGCGACGTGTCACATCCATTAGAGCAAAGTTTTGTTTTGAGTAAAAATGTCGATGGGGATGGCCTACTAATATTATGTGGCATTTTCCTATTGGATGATTAATCTCAACCACTGCCATTTCTCCACTTGGCATCACGTTGATGACCTCATTGTTTTTCTTGTCTTCACATGGTTGACCTGAAAGAGTTGAGTGTTGAGACCGATAAGCCTTTTCTTGGGACTAAATGGTAAATGCTGCTAATGTTCCGATTTGAGCTGAATGAAATTGATCCATTTAATGTTAATAATATATAATTGCCTCTTAGAGGTGGTTTTAGAGGTGGGTATGAAGATTGAAATCTCTGCGATTTTATACAAAAGCATGATTTTAAAAAGAGAGGAATATTTAAAAAGAAATGTATTGATCAGCTCTAATGAATTCTAATGTGCAACGTCAGATAGTTCCACATTTTCGATCTGAAGCTACTTTATATTTTAACTAAAAATTAAGTTCATTTCATTTTTGACCATCAGCAGTTTCGATAAAATCTGTATCTCTTGAATTGTTGGACAAATTAAATGCTTTTGACGAATTACACTGAGTTCTAAGAAATTTAAATAGTTCTTTGACCAACGAGTTACTTTTACATTATGTTAGTGCAAAATTTGGTACGTTTGTGGATAAAATGAACACATTTTATGTGTTTTAGCGAAAGAAAATGAAAATATTTTTAAAAACTATTATTTATTAAAATAACATAGAAACATTAAAAAAATGAAAAATTACCTTATATTAGTAATTAAAAATAAAATTCACATGCTTCAAAATCAAACAAAATTTCTGTTGACCTTTGCAATTTAATTATAATTATGGTTAACAAGTGCCCCTACAGGAACACATTAACAAATTCCTTTAAATTTTGAACTTTCTTATATGAACTAAATGGAATATGCTAATGGATGCCCCTGACCCACTAGTTAATTGATGAAAGAAAGAAACATTGCTAGTTTTAATTGATGATTTCAGAAGAGTTTTTCTGCTTTGAATTCATATAGGTTTTAATTTATAAAATAAATATATTAAATAAATAGATCTTAAAATGAAAAAAAAATATATATTAGAAGATGCTTCTAAAAAAGACAATTCAATTAAAAAAAAAAATTAAAAGTTCTGCTTTTGAGGGCATCAAGAGTCAGTCAACTGCGGAAAGTCAAGGGTTAGGCTTGCACTCAGCCGCAACTAAACCCAACCTTTAATTTTGAATTTTAGGACCGCTTGGTGCGATGTGGGATCTCACTATAACCCTTTCTTAGCATTTGCTTCCAGCATAGGCATTATTTATGGGATTTAGCTATTTTTCAACTCTCCATATGTAAGATTCATAGTCATACACATTTTATTATTAGATTAACAATTAAACAAGACAAATATTCATACCAATCATGATGCTATAATTTATGGGTGATGGAAACAAATGCTTATAATGTACAGTAAAAAGTAACCAGAAGCTCAAATCTCTGCCTCTGAATTCGAAGGATCCTGGACCTAACTGCTAGTGGGTCATCATATCATACAATCAAATGGAAAGCTACTCAATACTAATATAGCTATTCAAAATATAGTGCATAATAGGAATTTCAATACTTGTAACTATTCTATCATCGTCTGAGCAAAATTTTATCATGAACTAATTAATATACTAGCCTCTGAATTCGAAGGATCCTTGGACCTAACTGCTAGTGGGTCCATCATATCAATACAATCAATGGAAAGCTACTCAATACTAATATAGCTATTCAAATATATAGTGCATAATATGAGAATCATTCAGAGTATCCTGGACCTAACTGCTAGTGGGTCATCATATCATACAATCAAATGGAAAGCTACTCAATACTAATATAGCTATTCAAAATATAGTGCATAATAGGAATTTCAATACTTGTAACTATTCTATCATCGTCTGAGCAAAATTTTATCATGAACTAATTAATATACTATCCTTTGATAAACTTTCCAGCGAGAAACGAAGTTTCACTAGCAAACAATTGTTTTCATAGACAAACAAAACATAATGGAAAACATTTAAATGAGCCAAAGAAACCTTACTAGTCCATTGATACAAACATGAGACTTCAGGAAGCCATAACTTTATGCCGCTTGTGTTGAACAAATACTTGATAAAGCTCTTTATATCCATTCCTATAATGATCCAATGACCTACAAAGCTGCCTTATTGCTTCCCTTTTTTCCTCAGCCCCAGCAGAAAGCTCACCTCTTTGCCTGTCCACCTCCTTCTCCAACTCCACTACTCTCAATCTTAATTCATGTACTTGCTTTTGCACACTTTCAGACCCTGCAATCAGTTCCACATTTTCCATATGCTTGCTCCGGAGATGCTCCTCCATTTGACCAATTTGAATGTCTCGTGAACTCAAGTCTGCAACTAGTGTTTTTACCTTAGCATTCATCTCATCTTTCTCTGCCATAAGCATGTCACACTTGAATTTTAGGCTGTCGAGGTTTTTATTCAGAATTTCCACTTGTCCACATCTCTCAGTAAGTTCAAACTTCAATTGACTGATTTCTGCTTGCAACCGTAGAATTTGGGTGTTGTGTGAACATTGCAATTCCATTTTCTCAGTTTGGCATTGACATAACTTATCCTCAATGGATTGACCTAACAATTTCTGTTCTCTGAGCCTTGCCTCCAACAAAATCTCTTTCTCTGACAAACTAGATATATTAGATTGCAGGTGAGCTTTTTCAACTAAGAAAGTTTCCTCAGCATTAAGGAATGCAAGTTTTAATGCTTTGACTTCATCATCACGATCAGATAAATCATTATTGCACTTTACAATTATCCCTGCAACTCTAAAACCTGCTGACTCTCTGAATCAAGATTTGCCTTCAACATGGCTTTTTCTTCTTGAACCAATTTTAGCTGAGCTTGCAATTCATTTACATCATCAGCTAGTTGTTTTTGCAGCTCTATTACTCTTGTTCTCTCTACTTCAAGATCAGCCTCCCTCATTTTGATATCTCCATTTGCTGATTCAAGCTGAGCCTGCAAATTTTCAGCAAGTTCCATAAAACATTCGCTCTCTGCAAGCTCACTTTTCAACCTGGTAACTTCCTCTTCTGATAGCTGCAATTTTAGCTTTGAAACTTTTAGCTCTTCCTCATACCTAATAATCTTACTGAGCATTTCCTTATAGTTTTCATTTTCATCCACATTAAACACACCATCTCCATCTTCTTCCACATCCATCTCGAGCTTCTCTTCCATGCTAGGAAGAGTAGTACCAAACTCAATAATCTTCTGGTGCAGGCTTTTGCGATTAGTGTTCATTGGCAGGCTATAATAGGCATCATCGGAGGAGTTGAAAGATTCCAACTCAGAGTCTGATGATGATTACGAATCAGAGCCATCCTTCAATGAAATATCAGACCTAGCACCACCGGAGCTCACAGATAAAACTCGATGACCAGTCTTGTTCGAAACCAACTTTTGATCAGGAGTCAGCGTCGGAGTGTCAGGGGCACTGCCTGCACCTTCCATTTGGAACTCTGACGGCATACTCTTGTATAATTCTGCATTCAAATGATCATAGCGCTCGGCTAATGACCTATACATAGAGTAGAATTCCTCAATCTCAGAAATCAATTCTGGCCTAGCCTGTTTACACATTTCTGCTTTCTTGGCTAGAGATGCACCTTCTTGTTCGATCATTTTAAGCACTAGGTTGGCACCTTGATCCATCTCTGCAATCAATAGCTTTTTTATCATTAAATCCACACCAAAATATAACATAAAGTGATTATCTTTTTACTAGCAAAGAAAGATCAAAGAAATATCCGACATAGCATCATAATAAACAGATTATGAGCTTTTTTAGTAGACTCAATTCATAGTAACTAATCAGGTCCAGAGTACTGCAACAGAATGCTGCTGGTTACCTTGGAAACCAAACAATAGTGAAGGGCAAAGGATCTGAAGCAATTAAATAAAATCATAAATATAGATAAGCAGTGAAGGACTGAGATAAGATTATCCTCAACTAGTTTCGTAAAACTACTGAGGGTAACAAAAGGCTGAACTTTAGAAGTATACACAGATCAGATCAACAACAAGAGGTAATAAGAAGAATTAACGTTTAGATATGGACTAAAGCAGAAAGATTCCAACTTGCTACTTCATGCAGTTTAGAAAGAACATTTGCAATCAACCAATGAACCTAAAACCAATAGCTCTTAGGTTTTAGCTAATGAGAAATGCGCATAGCCAAATTGAATTCCCTTTACGTAAGTTTTAGTTGATTTTAAACGGGAAAGTGAACAATTAAAATTGTACAACAAGGATCTGGGGTTAAGCCTCCCAATTGAGAATAGATCCGGTAAAACTGCCAAATTGCTAACAGGAATATCCACAAACAGACTCAAAAATAAAAAGGAATGAAAACACAGCAGTGAAGCAAAACAATGATGGATTAAGCAATAAATTCAAACGTTTTATCATATCATCTCAGCAAAAGTTGGGAAATTGTTAAAACAGATCCATAAATAACATTTAAAAGAAGAATGTGACCGACCTGAGTGGGCAGAGCAGGTGAAAATAGATTGCAGATAGACTGAAATCCAACTCCAAATAGTAAATAGAAGACTTCAATTAGATTAAACTAAAGAGAGAGTAGAGACAATGAGAAAAGTGCGAGAGAGGGAACAAGAATGAAACGCTAGCCAATCTCCTTCTTTTGATGGGCAGAGAAACCAAATTTGCCGCCTTTGCATTTCTAAAATTAGATTAAATTTACTAAAACACCCTCCGTTTCAATTTTCAAATTGAGCAATCTTTGTCAAACAGAATCCAAGGGACGGTAGGGCCGGTGGTGGTTGTGGTGGTGGACCTATATACGACAAGTCATTTCTCTGTTTTCCTTTGTTTTAAATCCCTGGAGGTTTGTCGTTTGGTTGATTGATTAAATTTGTTGATCAAGGGGTTTTTTTGGTAAATTTCTTGAACCCAATAATTGCGGTTGAAAGTTGAAAGAGAAGCACAAAACCAATACTGCCCCATATATTCTGGCGGGACATCGGAGAATTTGAAATATGCCAATTTTTTTTAAAGGGTAATTGGGATTAACAATGACTGAACATACCAAACCTACCAGTCTACAACCGTAACTAAATGTCATCATAGTTGAAGAACCGGCGGTTCAGGTTATGAGAAAGAGGAAAATTGGTTTGTTTCGCTACAAATACCCGCATTTACTTATATGTAACCCTGCCACCCGCCAACTCGCCCCATTACCTAGATATCCTTACCAGCAGCGCACACCAATATCAGGATTTGGGTTCGGGTATGCGGGGTCAGTTAAGGGATACAAAGTGGTACAGTTAGTTCATCGAGTAATTCAGCCCTCCATTGCTCATAAGATAGAATGCTCTATTTTTACCATTGGATTTGAAGGAGTTGATAACGGTTGGAGAGTACTGAAAGAAGGCTGACCATATTTTGTCGAGCAGTTCAGTTATCCGGTTTTTATCAAGGAAATCATCAATTGGAAGATCAATCGTTATCATCATCGAGTGCTAAGGAGGAGCAACGATTATGTTGTCTCTTTCAACGTTAGAGAGGAGAAATTCTTTACCATTACTCATCCAGCTGATTGGAGATACATTGTACAAAATTCGACGCAGCTGGCGGATCTCGGCGAGATGTTGTGCATGGTTGAGATTTCGGCATCTCATATAATTGGCGGATCTCGGCGAGATGTTGTGCATGGTTGAGATTTCGGCATCTCATATAATGTATGGATGCTGAGGGATCACCAAAAGTGCCTGTGGGAGAAAAGAGGCTTAATAAATCTTACAGGAATAGATCGCAGACTTGTTGGAGAAATCAAGTGCCTTTAACAATGGTGAAATTGTTTTCAGCTCCATTTCTAACATTCTGCTCTTTTATGAGATGAAAAAGAAAAGGTTTAGGCAGGTCCACTTCCTCTTCGTGCCTTTGAAACTGGGATTTATTGGGAAAGCTTTTTCTCCCCTGGAATCACACATTAGATTTCTGAATCGGTATGCTCTAATCTATGTCATCTTCTTTTAGTTTTAGTGTTAGTTTTAGGTTGCTTCACTGCTTCAGTGTTGCAATTTTTTCAGATTATCCTAAAGCCCTATTTTCCTTAAACTGTTAAAACTAGAGCTGTAAAAGGTAATGCATTTGTTTATTTGAAACAAATAGTCTGTTGAAATTTACACCAAAAAATTTCAGTAAATAATGGACTTCAGAGGAAAGTACCCATCCACAGTAATATTTTGCCAATTGACGCACAATTTATTGCCACCAAAAAGCAACCTAATGGAACAGCATTGCTTTTATGCTATACAGTAAAAATGACAAAAATGTAATGTTTCATACGACACTATTTACATTGATCCATATATTTACACGTGCAGGACGATAAATAATATGTTGTGGGCATGAAAAATGGTAGCTTTATCTAGGCCTGCTCGCTGTTTTCAGGAAACGGACATATTCCTGCTGCAACATCTCCCCTCCATGAATAGGATCAAAGCTGCACCTGTAAAAACTGATAATTGAGGAGAAATCTGTTACGAATGAAACAGTCCATCAAAATAACTGTTTGGAAACACTACATTTTTCTTGCTGTCACTGTTCACCAATATATTCCTGCTCTATTTTCACCACTAAAAATTTGTTGATAATAATTACACCCCAAACTACCATAGACGAACGTAGTACTGAAACCAAATATCACACACATTGTATCTCTATGGCCTCAACTATTAGAAATAACATCCCAATACATGGTCGGCAGGGACAAATAACTTCGAACAAAATGTTCAATGGCAATGTTTAGTAATCATGATGCTGAACTAAGCACACATTCAAAATTTTAATAAAGAGAGAGAAAAAATGGGAGTCAGTTAATTTAGGATACGCCGCAGGCTGTAAGCTAGGGTTCAGAGGTTAACCTTTGTGACAAGGACAAGATTGGAACCCATTTTCCCACTGTTTTTTTTTTTTTAAATTTAATTTAATGAGCTATCAAAAAGCTGATGTAATTGCCAGCATCAGAGGAATACAATTGCAAATGAAAATCTGTAGCAATTAACAGAACAAAATAAGCCCATACCTTCCATCCATGCCAACAATAATAACAGTATTCTGGGATCCAAATGCAGCAATGAATTGGATGTCTTCTGGCAAGTGGAACTGAGAAAATGACCGCTCGGAGCTAAAATACTTTGGTAATACCTCTGCAAGTAGTATCAGAAAGATGAGGCTTGTTGAAGAAAAGAACCAAAATTTGTAGGGAAATATTAGATGTAAAATATGACTCCCATCTCTTCTCCGTGCCTCAAAAGGAGAGGCGGCGGGCAGAAGAAAGGATCAGAGAAAATAAAGGAGACTTACACTTTGAGCAACAGAAAAGACAGATGGATAAATCCTGGGTACACATGCTTTGGGAAGGAAACGTTTTATGTGCTCCGGTGTTACAGAACATTATGTTAATGAAAAAAAAAATTACCATCATGTAAGATATTATATTTCAGATTGTTATCGTGAGTTTTTGGACCTCATATAGCAATTATCATCAGGTATAACTGAATTAAAAATCAAATGTTCTAGGCATTTTGCATTAGTATCAATTACATATCATATGCTTTCCTATCACATTACACCTTGCAAATTATCATGCAGCTCATAGGTATTAAAGTCAGTAAACATCTTTTGACATTTGTTTAAAGGAGAAAAATACAAAAAAAAAAAAAAAGAATGCAAAAGGCATTACAGATTTCATCTCCAAGTCCAGTGATAAGCTTAATAAAAAAAAGTGTTGATAAAATTTTCTTACCTGCATTAGTAATCAATTCAATATCATATGCTTTCCCTATCACATTATACAAACATCATTGCAAACATTTATCATTTAGCAGCTCAATGAGTGGCTAATTAAAGTCAGTAACATCTTTTACAATTCTCGTTTATATAGGAGAAAAAATAACAAAAAAAAAAAATAAAAGCAATGATACAAAGAGGCATTACATGTAGTTTGTCATGTCCATGTCCCGTGTGGATTCCAAAGCTTAATAAAATAAAGGATTGATTAATATTGAAATCATTTTCCTTTACCTCTCATAACAAAGACAAGGGATGGAACAGGATTAGAACCTAATGCACTTAGGAGAAAATAAGAGTATCTCAGGGGAAAACTAGTGCTTGGAGAAATAAGAGTATCCAGGGAAGTTGAAGAATTCTGGTTTAATAGTGTTGGACCTTGAATAGGATGAGAGGAAGAATCCTCCCCAGCCATGCGAACTCTAAGACTAAAAATATGAACAGTACCTTTGTCACTTGACACAGCCAGCCACTGAACATTCTGAGAGAGTGCAATGCCATAAATCTCTGCTCGATCAACTCCTCTTCGCACCTATAGGAAGCAATTTTTTTTTTTATTCTAAAATCCATCAGGAAAAAATACATGCAAGTTTGTTACTTAGATGTCCATGACTGACAGCGATAAGTAGTCAGGTGAAGAGCTTATGATATCAGTTTGAGAAGATGACTTAGTCGTCTATATCATATACAATTGTTTTAGACAGTAGAGTAAGACACTGTGCAAAAAAAAGAGAAATGTGAATCAAATATCCACTTATCATGTCCAGCCAGATATTTGTCAGGCCTTGTGCACTCGTGAATAACTCCAGCCAGATATTGTCAGACCTTTTGTGCATTCGGAATAACATTTTTTACATAAGTCCAGCACCAGGAGAGAACTGACTAAAATTTTATCTCAGCAAACTTCCCAATATTTGTCTTATTGCTTGGCAGAGCAAGCCAAATATTGCTTTGACTGAATTCTAAGTTCACATAATCAATAAACTGAAAAAGCTGGATAAGAACTTATTTAATTGTATTCATTTTTGGTTAGGTTGTCTTCTTACGCAATATTACAATTCTTCCCTTTTTGCATATTATCCAAGGACCTACTTCATGTAGTATGGGATTGCTTTATAAGTTTATTAGTGAATCGTGAATTGCAATTTACATATAGCATTTTCTCAAACCCTAATTAAGAAATAGGGAGAGAATTCTATTGGTGAACTTTTAAATAACCACCTGTTTATTCTATTAATTAAACGCATTCGACAGATGGTTACGCAACACAGCTTACTTTTGCTAATAAGTAGTCAGGTGAAGAGCTTATGATATCAGTTTGAGAAGATGACTTAGTCGTCTATATCATATACAATTGTTTTAGACAGTAGAGTAAGACACTGTGCAAAAAAAAGAGAAATGTGAATCAAATATCCACTTATCATGTCCAGCCAGATATTTGTCAGGCCTTGTGCACTCGTGAATAACATTTTTACATAAGTCCAGATAGGAGAACTGACTAAAATTTTATCTCAGCAACTCCATTTCTTATGCTGCCAGACATGCCAATGCTTCTGATCTAAGTTCAATAATCAATAAACTGAAAAGCTGAAGATCTTTAATTTATCAGTTTTAGTTGTTCTTAGCATAACAATCTTCCCCTTGCAAACCAAGGACCTACTATGTAGTAGGGGATGCCTTATAAGTTATTAGTGAATCGTGATGATTTTACATATTGATTCTCAACCCTAATTAAGAAATAGGAGAGAATTCTTGGTGAACTTTTAATATAACCACCGTATTCATAATAAACATGACATAATGGTCCAACAAGCTACCTCTTGCAAGCCAGACCCATCCATCGTATTGAAAATTCTAATCAAAGTGCCCCTTGTACTAGCAGTTGCAAGAAGAAGGCCATCCATTGTCAAGGTGATGCATGCAAGATGAGAATCATGAGCATTAATTAACTTCATGACATTCAGCCCAAAGTGTTCAATTCGAACCTGTCCTCGACGAAGACCTGGGCAAGCTAAAACACATGTATTTGATTGGTGAGAAAGGCAGCATAATCCCCTAGGATTTGTTAGAGTCTCAATCTGGTGAAGAAGCTTTAGATCCATGAAACTATAAACATATATTTTGTGCTCAAGAACAACAACAATTCGATCCCTCCTTAATATTTACTGCACGAACCTAAGTGGAATGGGAATTGGGAGATAAGAGTGTAGTTTTCAAATTGCCAAGCGCACAATGAAGACTAGTAGCACAAACCACACAATTGATGTAAGGTTGTATTCCATTCTTCATCTTAATAATAATAGAATAGAATTGTCTCACTGGTCAACCATGCATATATATTTGGCTAAATTAATTAAAATTAAATGGTTTGAAATAGTCAAAACATCTTAATTAAACAATTTGTTTACTTTTATATTTGAAAAGAAAAATAAATGTATCAGTTAAGTAAAAGTCTATTTCAAGTAGATTGATGTTGTCTGGTTAATGTCTCTCCCAGTTAAGAAACTTGTAAGTACTAAAAGCCAAGGAAGCATGCTAATTGATGTTGAGGAACACCACCCTAGTACCCTAGGCCAGGCTCCTGTGTTTTGCTTTTAGTAGAATCACATTTTACTAAATTAACAGAAATTTTAGAGTTGTTCAGCAAAATCGGATGTTTTTATAGTTTTTAATTGTTTTTTGGATTAAAAGGAGAGCTGAGCTCTGGAATTTACATGTATAATCTGGGGTGTGCTTTTAGCTGTTTTAGTTAGCTACTTAAGTAGTTTTTCAAAAAACATTACATAAGTTAATTTTTTATAAAATGTTACCTTAACCTTTAAAAACTAATTCAAACACTATATTACTGAAAATTATTAAAGTAATATTTAGCGTTTTGATAAAAAGTTACTAAAAAATTTATTGCCGAACACAACCTTAAACTTAAATCTACGTCTTACTCAAATATGCATTATTATCACTTTTGTTATATCGTATTGCTTCAAGTAATTGACAAAATGTTGAAATGAGTTATGTAATAAAGAGTTGCGTGAAAAAGCTATTAGGGACATTGCTCGGTGGACGTATGACGCGGCAATACCTTTCAATGCCATTATTTACCCTAATTTTTGTAAGATGATTGAATCTGTTGGTCAATTTAGTCTTGGGTTGAAACCACCTAGCATGTATGAGGTGTGAGTTCCACTTCTCAATAAAGAAGTTGATGGTGTGCAACAAATGTTGAAGGGTTATGAAGAAGAATGGGCAAAGAATGAGTGTACACTCATGGCAAATGGTTGGACGGATAAAAGACGAAGGACTTTGATCAATTTTCTAGTGTGCAAGAGAAATTTGAAAACAAATGATACTAGGATTGAGAACCATGAGAGGTTGAAGCCTCCATGGCCTCCCCTAGATGTTTCCTTGTTTAATTTTGATGGTTTATGAAATTGCTTATTGTTATGGTATAGTAAAAGTGATTTGTTATGGGTTGTTTAATTGAAAATTAAAATATAACCCTTGATTGCTTGATGTCCGAACCTAGGATGAGGTGATAATGAAGTTTGTGCGTAACTTTGATGGAGTAAAGGCATGATGATGTAATTAGATGATAAAGTAATTTTAAATGGAAAGTATGTGATGGTATGCCTAGGTTTAACGATTGATCACAATTTCATAGCTGGAGCATTTTGAATTGGTTCATGCCTTTAACATGGATGGCATCCCTTGGCGTACATGTGGTAGTCCCCTTCCATTTTTTGCCCACAATGCCCGTACTTGACTAGTAGTTTCCAAATTATTTTTCCTAAATGGTGCCCCCTATTATCCCTTCATGTACTTCGATCATTATTAGTATTGCCTGTTTAGGACCGATGCATCATATTTAACTGTCAAAGTGTCTACTGTATAACTGGCCGTCCTTTTGCTAATAATGGTAAGCGATCAAATTTTTTGTCCGAGTCCATCGAAGGGTTTTGAAGGTAGCTTTTAATTGTTTGTCTCTAGTCCTTGGTAAAATCAAGGGCAAAGCACCAGTCTTGGCGTTAGAGGTATGGATTTCCTCTTAAGATCAATATTGAATCTGATATATATTTGTAATGCCCTAAATTCCGGATCATGAATAATGGCATTCCTGGGTCATGAACAATGGTTTGGGGAGTGACTGGTAATTTCCCTTGAATAATACTATTTATTTGTTGAGTGAGTTAATTTGGTGGTATAATAAATTGATTTAGATGGTTTAAAACCCATATGTCAATTCAGGGTATGGACTTAGATGGAATTATTGAAAAAATGAATAGTGCATGTAAGGGGCAATTTTACAATTATATGTGTGTGTAAGAGTATTTTTGTTTTTATGTGTGTAGATGAGGAATAGGGTAATTCATAATAAGTTGATTTGAGATATAATTAAAGGGAATTAGAAAGTCTAGTGGTTAAATAAGAAGAGATGATTTTGGCCCTTAAATCATCCAACAACCAATTAATCTTGGCCCTTCATTTCTAAAAGAATATGAACCCTAGTTTTGGAGATGAGATATCACCTCTTTCCCTTAGCTCCCTCCATGCCAAACAACTCTCTCTCTTTTCTTTGATTTTTCTTCTTTCTTTACTTGACTTCTCCACTTAAATCATCCTAAAGACTAAAGTTTATCATTCTTAAAGCAATACTCATGGATTACAGCTTGGATTTAAGGCCATAATCATGAGATATTGAAGTTTTGAAGTTTGTGAAAATTTCTGTAGAAGAATAAAATTCAAAGTATGTAAAAATTGAGTTAGAGTTTGATATTTAGCATGTATTTCATGAATGATTTTGAGTTATTTTGCATTTTATTTATATATATGTAATTTCCTATGGTTAAAAGAGGAGAAGTTTTTAAGAAGGAGAAATGAAAGCAAATTAAGAAGTAATTCGAGATTTGTTGAAATGATCCGGAATTTTATTTTTAAAAATTTTTCATTTAAAAATTTAATTATTAATCGTAGCCAGTGACATTATAGAACTTATTCCATTTAAAAAATTTAATAAATTAACACCTTGTGAATTTATTTAACCAATTAAATGAAAATATACATTTTATATATTTAAACCAAACCTAAAGAGTTAATTAAACCAGTTAAAAAGCCCACAAACCGAAAGAAAACCCAAGCAAATATCCTGAATCGAACCAAACCAGCTTTAGACCGATTAGAATATTCTAGAAATAAGAAAATACCAAAACAATCCGCATCCCCATTCTCCTTCCTCTCTCCATCGCGCTACAACCCCTCCCCCTTCCATTTCGTTTTTCCGGTCACCTGAAGCCAGCGCCCTCCCCCATCGCCTCTTGCCGCCGTTGCCGCTCTCTCTCCCTCTCTCTGCCATTTCAGGCTCGGGCATCTACTACAGTTATCGTAGGAAGAGCTGCGACTTCGCTTCGTTTGGGAAATCGCGTTGCAGCTCTCTACTCGACTTTCCGGCGACTCCAGTCTCTCTCGACGACGACAAAGCTCTGATCCCTTCCTTTCTCGCTTTCCCTCTTCTGTTTCCACTGGCGCAACAATACGAGGAGCTGATATCGCGATCTGTTGCATTGGACAGTCAACTCGTCGCTTCTTTGCAGCTTTCCAGCGAAACCCGTCAAGGGCTGGCGGGGTACACCTTCTAACGCCTCTAGCGACCTCAACGGCCACGATCCTCTCCAGCTCCGGCCAAGCTAACGCCGGCAGAATAGGATTTGGGACAGTAGAGCAAATTTCGGTCATTTTTACCCGGAAAAAAAATTTAATTTCCGTTAAGGATTGCTACTGGGTAAGCAAATTTTTAATCTTTCTCAGTTTGGTTTAAGACCTTTTATCAAAATGGAGGATTGGAATTATTATTCAAATTATTGCAGAAATACTTACCTTAGTCCCATGATTCTAGTATTTAAATTTTGAGAAAGAAATTGATTCTTCAATTTAAGTTAATTGCTAGCTAATCTTATGTATGAATTTAGCATAAACAATATGAGTTTAGTCTAGATTTAGGCATAGCCTATATATAACAGAGATTATTGTTGCTAATACTTGAGCTAATGTTAGTTATTATTCGATAATATTATTCTTGCTAGATAAACAATTTTGACTGTGGGTTGTTTATTTTTTTATTTTTTTAACTAAATCTAGAAATGGTATTTGATGTCAAATCGAGGAAAAAGTTTTTGGAACTTTAGTTGAATTTTATTTAAGTTCGATATGGGTTATTTGTGCATTGTAAATGAGGCTAAGTTAAGGAACATATATCTTTTACGGCCAGCAACTATTTCAAATATCTTATGTTCTTTTAATAAGTTAACATGAAATGGATATGTATATATTCGATGTTTTTATATTTGTTGGTGTTGGCATATATTTAAGTTGTGAATTGGGTTGCTTGAAGATGCATTCATTAAATTGTAAGTTAATGGGATCATGGTTTCTTACTGACTAATCTAGAATTGTAGTAAATGATTAAAGGATGGTTAATGATGTTAGTGGGACAAATTGAAAGTTATTTAATTTGTAAATTAATGATGGAAGTTAAGTTTATGTAATACGATTGCGTTAATTGAATGTTGATGTTGAGATTAAAGGAAGATGGGAACTTGATTGATTGATTGTCTGAGGGATGGGCTGGATTGAGCTAATATTGAATGGAATTATTAATATTTAAATTGGTCGATAGTCCAATTGTTAGGTGAGATGTTACCAAAATTTTGCAGAATCTAGTCTAGTTATAGTAGTTAGATTAGTAGATAATTTATTAGATTAACTCTTTATTTCTTTATTAAATGAGTCTTTTATCTGATTCAATTTTTCCTTGCATTCTTAAATTCTTTAGATTGTCCAGGCTCGTCTACTGCTCCTCCGAGTCAAAATTTGAGTTAGGGCTTCTTCTATTCTCTATCACTGCGAGAAATAATAAATAGTGCATATCATAGTTGCACATACACATATCATTTACTTTACAAAGAAATATATATATATAAAGAAATAACTTGGATGTTGGGCTGAGCCAATATTGAAATGTCGAGCCTGATCTACGCAGAGAATTTTATCAATAAAAATTTTAGTAGACCATATAATTGGCAATTTAATTTGTTGGGGTCTGAGCCAATATTGAAATGTCGAGCCTGATCTAACGCAGGGAGAATTTATCAATAAAAATTAGTAGACCTTATAATTGGCAATTTAATTTTATATATATATATATATATATAATATATTAATTAATTAATTATATATATATATATATAGTTATTATTTAATATTATTATTAGCACTACAAAAATTTATTAAAAACTCCATTCGTGATCCTGTTGGTCTTCTCACTTATGTGAAAAGTGAGAGGTCTCAAGACCTCTCAATCACAATTGTTTTTACTAATTTAGTGAATCAAAGGGAGGGCTACCTCTGTTATGTAATCCACGATGTTATTTATCCAACAAAAGCCATCAATATTAAAAAGAGAACTTAAGCCCAACCCGTGGAATTAGGGGGGTCAAAATCCAATTTTCAAAATCAGAACCGTCGGATTCGAACCGGTAAGAATCGAAACCGAAATCGGTACGAATCAGTTTGATTTTGGTTCCACCAGTTTTGAAATATTGAACCGATGGTTTCCTAAACCAGTCAAAATCGACGATTTTAGTTGCGGTTGGAACCATTCAAAATCGGTCGGAATCGTTCAGAACCGTCCAGAACTGGTTGGAATTGGTAGAAAAATCGGTTGGAGAACCGGCTGGAACCATCGGTTTTAGAACCATTAAAGAATCAGAATCGAAATCAGAACCATTCAGTTTCAAACCGTAACAAAAACCGTTAATGTTCGGTTTGATTTTGGTTCTAAATTTTTTAGAACCAGAACCGTTGGTTCTAGAACCAAACTGGGGTTTCTGATCTGTGGCCACGTCTGCATGGAATGATGGTAGAATAAAAAAAAAAACAATTAAAATCACTCTAAACCAATTCAAACCGGACCAAGTCAATTAAAATCTAGAGCCTTCTATTAATCGAACCGGGACCAGTTGATTAATGGGCTATTGAGCCGAATCGTAGGGAGAACGCGTCTCTCTCCCCGATCATCCTCTCTCTCTCTTTCCCTTTCTTCTTCTCTTCTTCTTTTCTCGGAACGATCTCAGCCTCTCCTCCATGCCGGCCAAGCTGCACGTCTCTCTCCCCGATCATCCTCTCTCTCTCTTTCCCTTTCTTCTTCTCTTCTTCTTTTCTCGGAACGATCTCAGCCTCTCCTCCATGCCGGCCAAGGAACGGCGGGTTGCAACCTCCGGACACAACTAGCAGCCTTTTTCCCTTAAGCTGGTCTTCCGTCTTTGCGGCTCAAATCACCGTCGCACTTGTAAGAGAGGGTGCCGGACAACTTGGTTTCAGTCTCTTCACACTGTGCCTCTGCGAATCTCTGAAAGCTGCTCCATTCAGGTTTTGCTCTACCAGTTAGGTACTATATTTTTTTCCATTCTCTGTCAATTTTACGTTTTTCTTTTTCTTTTTCCTTTATTTTTAGTTTCTAATCAGCGAATTTTATCATCCTTCAATCTATTTTCCTTCTCGTTACTGTCCAAAAGCCACATCAAAATTAAGGCTGTTGAACAATTTTCTAAATCACTGGAATAATTTTTAAAATGCTGCGGCGGCGTTACGCGAGCGAGAGATCTGCCTCTTCTTGGCAAAGTAGAAAATCGCGACACTTTATTCCTGTGAAGCCAGAAGAAGTTGTAGCACTACTTGGCAAGGCCATTTGCCCATATGAGTTAAATAATGTTCCTGCATCTGTTATTCCAACTTCAGTTTAATCCAAAATGGCAATGCCGTTGGTATATAGGTGTTCGTGTAACGGTTCGGTTCGGTTCGGTTCGTTTGGATGGTTTTGACTCTAAAACCGTAAACAAACTAAAGTTCAGTTTTTTTTAAGTTTTACAAACTTAACCAAACCAACAATTTTTTAAACCACAGCCCCGCTTCCGCTGCCATCATCCCACCCACCGAAAACTGCTGCAACCAATTCTAATTTGGATCCAATAGAAAACGAAATTATGGCTATTAATCTACAAGGAAAGGATATGTCTCTCTTATATCATTGCTAAACAATCACTACTTCGCTCCCTCTCTTCCAAAGGACTCCACTATATCCTAGCAACAAGGTAGAAATACAAATCCTGTGCCTAATTCCTTTCATTGTTATTATCGACTCGTATATTCCTTTTACATTAGTTGCCAAAAGGCTGTTGATTTAATTCTTGTTCTGTAGTTATCAAAATTTAGGAATGTTGGGGTTGAATTTTTATTAGTTTTAGATTTCTGTGGCCGCAGTAATAAGGTGTTTGATAATATGCCTCATTGTAACTTTGCTACTAACTAATCCTGTTGGAACTTCTTTTTGAAGGGCAATAAAGGTTTCCTTTGTTTCTCTGATTATTTTGTAGGGTATTAAGTAATCTCTTTTAATAATTGTTTGTGGCATTTGGTTTTTTGACATTGGACAATATAATTTTGAGGAATCTGAAATTTGTTTGGCTCCTGTGATCATATAATTCCTTCTTGTAGTGACGATGGCACTGAGGTTGGCTACCCGGAAGTTTGGTAGCAGATTCTTCCCCATGTTCTCTTCCTCTTCTCAACTGCATTCACATGCTACAAGTTTTGGTAAGTTCGAGAGAGATTTATTTTTTTTCAGATACTTTCGTGCAAGAATTGTTCGAATAACTGAGTTCTAGGCGTTTGGGAAATTTTCATTTGCAATTTAAGCATAAAAAGTAGGCATCATTACAAATTTCTATTCGACCAACATTGTTGAATATATGTCTTAAAAATATTGAAATATCAAGTATGGATTGCTTTTTTTTTTTTTTTTTTTTTTTTTTTATTGAAATATCAAAGTTATGGATTTGCTTTTTTTTTTTTTTTTTTTTTTTTTTTTTGGGGGGGTTGGTTGGGGGGGGGGGGGGGTTGGTGGGAAGTAATTACTGGTAGTTGTCGGCAGATACAAATGTGAGGATGCATTGTGTTATACTAGAAACTGGTGGGAAGAGTTCAGTTATGCAAATGTAACTTTAAGTCAGGTTGAGACTTGTGAGAAAATAAGCACTGTTTAAATGAAGCTGAAGCTAATAAGTGAACTACATGCATATAAAAAAGCAATATATGTACATTTGTTCTATCTCAAATGCACTTGAAATTCGTACTTCATTCCTGTTACTGATTTTGTTTTCATGCTTAAAACAAAGCATATACCCTTATTGCTCTGATCCTCCCCCTACTAGATACATTTTTTTTTGTGCATTTAAATGTTTTCCAAAAAATCATTTGTGTTCTTTTCAAAAAAAAAAAAAAAAAAAAAAAAAAAAAAAAAAAAAAAAAAAAAAAAAAAAAAAAAAAAAAAAAAAAAAAAAAAGGAAATTTGTGCTTCAGTCCTATTATCTATTTTTTTCCATGATTAAATTAAATAATATACCCTTATCGATCTTATCCTCCCTCTACTTGATAGAGTATTTTTGTTGCACTTAATGTTTTCCAGAAAGACAGTTTCTGGTGGACAGGTTTCTAGAAATAATACTTTACTGGTTCACTCTCAGGTTTTAAAGAAGTAAGGGAAGAAGAAAAAAGTCAAATGGTCAGCAATGTCTTTAGTAATGTTGCCTCAAATTATGATCTTATGAATGATTTGATGAGTGGTGGATTACATAGATTGTGGAAGGACAGGTTAGATGCTAAGAATGCATTTTTAGTGATTGTTTATATCTCTTATAGGTAGTCTTCTCGTTGACTTATGTTATATGGAGCATTGTTCAGATTAGTCTGCAAACTGAATCCTTTCCCTGGAATGAAACATCTTGATGTGGCCGGTGGGACAGGTAACTTTCCTTATTCAATAGTTCTATATTGTGTTTATTTTCTATAAATTAAACCTTGCCTAATGACAACTATGAACAAAAAAAGAGAAGCAACGCGAAAGTATAAAGTGGAAGAGGAATTTTTTTACCACAAAATAATGTATTGATAAGGGCAAAGTTGTATAATTCATTCAGCTTGTGAGCTACTCTTTATCTGTGTTCTGAAACATTTGCTTCTTACAGTCTCGCTCAAAACTGACAGTTCTGACCTAAGTAGTGTGTGAGAGAGAAAAAAAAAAACGGAAAGGAAAAAAAAAAAAAAAAAGAAATGTGTGATAGCTAGGTTTGTACTTTCCTAACGTGGCTGAATCATTTCAGACTAGCTAGGAAAAGAGAATGGTAGGTCCTCACACTGTCACATCCTATTTTTGGATGGTTTGGCTTATTTAACATAAAAAGAACAAAATTATTATTTTATGTGGAAATAGTTCCCACTTAGGTATTTGGTTATTTTTTGGTAGTACATGAAAACAAAATGGGATTCCCTGATGCCATTTTAATAGTTTATCTTCATCTACTTATTCACTACAAAGGAAAAGAAAATGTTAAATTTTGCCGTTGCAATTTTATTTTTAATAATTATCAACAGTTTTAATATGTATTCTGAAATTATTGAGCAGATGATTTCAACAATTATAAAGCAATTTAAGACATGGTAGGAAATTTTCTGTTTTAACGAGTTTAAAGATAGTTAATATTTGAAGAGTCGTAGCTTAATTTGTTCCCTTAAAGTAGCAGAACTGCATTGTTTTTCTCCCGCTGAAACTGCTGTGGGAAAATTATATGAAAAGCAAGCAAGAAATTTTGAAGAATATTTTAGGGTCCATTTGGGTTCGATGGATACTAATTTGAAATGAAGGTGGATTTGGATTCCATCATTGCTGATTTTTTTTTTTTCCATCATTGCTGATTTTTTTTTTTAAAAAAATTTTTTACTTAAAACAAAAATCCAAATCACGAGGATTTCAAATGAACATGCACACTAATAGGAATGGATCCTAAATTTTGATTGAGATAAATTTTGGGCATTTTATTGAGAGAATGAATTTATTTTAAAAATTTGATGAAAAATGCATTTCTTTGAATCTACTTTAAAAATTTCTTATCATGAATTTCAATCCCAATAAATTCACTAATCGTCACTTTTTGACTGATTGGTAAAACTGAAGCTACTTCTAACAGTTGAGTGTAGAATTGTTAAAATTAAAAGGATTGCCTAAAACTGAAAATTTACCCAAATGCCATTTTTTACTTTTGGTCATGAGGCAAAAATGGAAAAAATAAAAAAGAGTAAGGTGAGAGGGAACCTAGAATTACAATTTGCATATACTGTTCAAAGTGCCAATCCTGCATTATAAACTGTAAACAACCTCTAAATTATTGTGTAAAATCAATTCCAAAATTAACCATCGCCCCCCCAGATGCCAAAAAAAAAAAAAAAAAAAAAAAAAAAAAAAAAAGATGCATGCATTACCTTCATAATTGATTTCCCTGTTTAGCTACCATTGCATCATTCAGACCCTTTTGGACAAACCTTTCTGCTTGCTTTGGCTTTAGTTTAGGGAAATTTAATTTCTCTTAGCTGTCTCACATTTGACAATATTTCTACACCAAAGAGTATTATCAGTCTTACTCTTGAAACTAAAAGACAGTTAGTTGATGGGTTGTTTTTTTCCATTTTTCAATTTCTCATGTTTTCTATTTGTTATCTGCAGTGGTTTTGATGTTTAAAAATTACTAATTTGCAGGGAATGTTGCTTCAGGATCCTGGAAACTGTAAAATAGTATCAAATAAGAGCACTCAAGATCCTTTTGAATTGATAATATTACAAGAGAAACTCAGATATATGTATTGACATCAATCCAAACAATTGTTTAAACGTTTGGGCAAAAAGCGGCTATAGAGAGAGGTAACGTATTTAATCCTAAAACAAAGCTAGTTTGAAAATTACTTGAGTAATTCTATTTTCTGTACAAGCGTTTTTAATGTATTTTTTCTTTGATTTTAATTTTTCATTTTTGAAACTTATAGGTCTTTCAGAAAACATTTGAAATTTTTGAGAATTACTTGAGGCAATTCAGTTTTTCTTGCACAATTAGATTTTCTTACCTTTATACCTTTTGTCAAAACACCACAGGTCTTTGGAGAGGACAAATCCCTTGTATGGGTGGAGGGAGACCTGAAGCCTGAGTTTTGAAGATTGGTTAATGGAGGTTACACAATTAGCATTTGGAATTAGGAAACGTTACACATATAGAGAAGTTCTTGCTGAAGCTTTATAGGTATGTTACTTAATCCATGCTTGCTATCTTGCACATCCAAATTGGCTTTTAATAATTGAAATAATAGAAGTGAATAATCTTTCGATCTCAAGTATTATTCAATGCACTTGGTGGCATTGCTCTCCCTCTCTCAGTTCATGTGGGTTTTGACATGCAAGTTTTCATGTTTCTGATCTCACCTGAACGGAGATAAAAGAGTTTACAAAGAGTTTATTTAATCATTTCACCTTTGTTGTCAAAACGGGACCAAAAACATTTGGACCATGTAAAAAGTACAGAGTGGATAATCAGTTTGAAACTTTAGACATCAATTCATTCTTTCAACATTCAACTTTATTGCCAAAATCTGATGGCAACCATGGACATATGAATTGCAGTAGTAACCATACATATGGTAGCAGAATCGATATAAAAATGTGTAATGCAACAAATCAATTGAGGGATTATGAATGTCTGATAATTAGGGATTTAGACCCATTATGGCCACGTATATTGATATGCTTTAGCTAGCTATATCACTATTCTGCACCCATTAATTTATATTGATATAATAAAGTACAAAATTCTTGTTACAATGTGTAAAAATAACTTAGATGTCTTATTGCGATTTTACAAGTCTGACTTGCTACTCTCAAACAGGTAAGGGAAGGAGCAAATCTTGTAAAAGAACTGTTTTGATGTCTTATTTTCTGAATAAAAGATCGTCTTTAGTGATTCTCTATGAAAAATAAGAAAGTTCCTCGACCTGCAATAACTGTGAAGAGGAGGATTTAAAACAATCATAGGGCTACTAGAATTATTGGTACCTTCATGCCTTTCTATTTGATCATATTACAAAGGCCCAGTGAGTTGTTTTTTGTTATAATCAATTGACCCATTGATTGCGGGAACAACTTCCAGGGCTGAGCTGCTTAGCACTTATAGGCTATAGTCTCACTTTTGTACAGTCTTTTGTAACTTATTTTAGTTTTCAAGTTAATTGGCTATGGATAAATGTTGATTTTTGGCTTAGAAATTGAGGGTATTATAGTAATTAATGGGCCTCGATTTGAATGATTTGGGCCAATAAGCCATAATGGAGTTAATTTATTATTCTAAAGTTTCTACTTAGTGTTGAAAATTAAAAGTCAATTAAAAGATGCCTCTATTTTTTATTCAGGGGTACAAAATATGAAATATCAAACACATTTTAGAATCCAAGTGAATTGAATTTGTACAATTTAGTTATATAGTTTTTATAAATATCATTCTTACGATGCTTTATTTATTAATATTTTAGTGAATAAAAATCTCAATATTTTGCTAATTTGTATGATCTAGCGAGGTTAGTATTTTTGCTTAATTTGCAATATTCAGATGAGCAGATCTGCAATTTTCGCTAATTTCTGATTCCCTTTAAAATTTTGTCTTACCCAAGCGTTTGGTTATCAGAATTCAATATTCCTTTTATAAAAACACTTTTCTAGGTTAAATAGATTTCCATTGAAAGTAATCTTAAGAAAGTTAATGAAAGTAATCTTAAGAAAGTTAGATTTTCATGTTTGGTTATAATGAACTTTTTATGAATATAAACTAATTGTGTCTGGTAATAATACCATAATTTATATATATTTTATCTATTTAATATTGTAGAATTATACTATAAAAACATATGACTAATTTAATAATTTTCCTAATAAAAAATAGCATGAAATATAAATATTATTCAAAAAAATAAATAAATACAACGCACTGAATGATCGAAAGTACAAGCTGCAAAAACAAATAATAAAGAAAGCCCAACAAAAATCTTATCAAAATTAACCAACAAAATATTTATAATTAAAGGTATTGAAGTCTTCAATCTTACATACCCATGGCAATGTAATTTTCCCACCCTTTGAAGCGGGAAAGTACTTTTTCGTGTATTCAAGTAAGTAGAGGTAATATCTATCGATCTAGGAAATTAAGTTTTCTGGGAATGTAACATTCACATACCAACCTAATACCGAATCTTGCATTTCCTAGGTACTTTCCAGTGCGATTATGACAACAGAATATCCCCTAAGCCTAATTTGAAAACTGAAAGGTTTCAAACATCGAAGATCAAATGTAATTGTGAAGATGCTGATTGTTAATTTGGAAGATTATTATTATAATTTTAATTAGTTGTATACTGTCTTCTGCTTCTGTACTGATAATCATTTACTGATTTGTTATTCAGTCTTTCTCAGAAACTTTTCTCCTTTTATTAATTTGTTGTTGATATATACTCTATGTTTTTGCTTATTAGGGTATTGAAAAGAGGAGGAAGATTCCTTTGCCTTGAATTGAGTCATGTGGAAGTTCCGATTTTTAAAGACTTGTGAGTATCTTTGGCACAACTAGTTGTTTAACTGATGATGCACCAACTAGTTGTTTAACTGATGATGCACACCATTTGTTGTATTAAGAACGTGATTTGCGCATAGTAGGTTTTTCTAATAAAAATCATTATCAAGATTGGCTGTGTTCTGGCCCTGAATATTATTAATTTTTTATTATCTTTTCAATTTTAATATTTAGGAAAAATGTTTCCTTTGCAAATATTCTTTTTTCGGTATCTTATTTTTATTACTTCTTTTAAACATAAACCTATTTGATGTTGGCAAAACCTCTTATGCCATATGTATAAAAGCCGCATGAGACATAAAAGCTCCAAATTTTAGAGATACTGTAAACAATGAAATAAAATCATGCCAATAACAATGATGTGAAGAAAAGGTAGAAGTAGCATGAAAATAAAGGTCAATGTCTCGAAGAGTTATTTGTTTTATGCTACATTAGTCGCTTCATAAGCAATGGACTATCCTTACTTGCAGGATTAGATTGATACAAATGCTACAATTAACGGCTTACTTTGATAAAATTAAACGAATTAATAAGAATTCTAAGTTCATCTGAACTTTAGGATTTGTTCGACCCTTAGCCCATTCTTTTAGATCCAGGTAATGATATTGCGATTTTTACTCTACTGTTCCCAAATATGATTATTTTAGATGCAAAGTTCTCAAGTGCCTCATATATTCAATTTTTCATTGGCATTAAGAAAGCAACTTTTTGCTTTACAAGGGGGAAAAACTTGACCCTTTTCCCCCACATTTTTGCCACTAATTGTTAGTACCATCCAACAAGCTGTCCTAGTTCTTTTGGAGCCAGCTGCACAAGTGTTTTTTTTTTTTTTTTTCTCAATGTCAATGGAATTAGTTGCAAATAGTGCTGGCTTCCTACATTCTAAAGTAGAGCTGTAGTGAATCGAATTTATGTAAAATTGATCTTTACCTAGGTTTGGGAGATAAATAAGTTATGGTCTCCAATGAGACCTAATCACTTAAAAGATTTTTGATGAATTTTATCCATTTGTCTTGCTTGAAGCTTCAAGTTATTGAAGCTTAGCATTCTTTATTTTCATTTTTCCCGTTTTATTTTTTTAATTATTATTCTGAAATCTAACTTCTTTAGTTTCTGTTTTATGGATTGCTCCTTTTCCCTTGCAGGTATGACTATTATTCATTTTCAATCATTCCAGCCGTAGGAGAGCTAGTTGCAGGTGACCGGGAATCTTATCAGTATTTAGTGGAGAGCATTCGTCGTTTTCCAAATCAGGTATTACTAAGATCCATATACTCTTAAATTTCTCAACGATGCAATTGATGAATCTTTGAACCTAATGATTAGAGTAGCCAGCTCTTTTATGTTTTATCTGGGGGCACCTTCTACCACACTTTTTGTTTTTAGTTTTAGTGAAAGTCCTTAACCAGAAACCAAGTACTTCATGCAAAACAGGTCTAGTAATATGACATCGATGCTTTTATCAAATTGATATTTCTTGCAATGTTTTATCTGCGTCTATGTTTTCCTCTTGCCGTACATCTCAGGTCACTCTTTTCCCTGCACACCAAATTTGCCCTTTTTTATTAGCATTGAATAAAAAGAAAAATTCTAGCTAAAATCCAGTGCTTAGATTTGAATTCTAAATGCTGAATCAACTGATGAAATATTCTTTGCAAAATGATTTAGAAGTCTATTGACTTATTGTATTCGGTGTAAAATTTAAATTAAAATTTTTGACTTATCATTTTAAGTGAATTTTAGATTAACTTAAGAGTTTCAAGTGATATGTAGATAACTTATAACTAAAAAACGTCAGAAAATTTTAATTCTAAATGCGGAATAGTATTATCAAGCGCCATCCTAGTGAGCAAAAGGATCCTGTTGTATACAGCAATTTATATATTTTGCTTATCATACTTGTTTACGAGCCATTGTTATTAATGAATGCAGGAAAAATTTGCTTCAATGATAGCAGATGCTGGGTTTCAGAAAGTTGAGTATGAAAATCTTGTTGGGGGAGTAGTAGCCATTCATTCTGGGTTGAAGTTTTGAGAGAGTTTATGGATTTTATTTTAACTTTTTATTTTCTTTTTTCATATTTTGATTTGCATGGTCTTATCAATTGATCGTTTGTGTATGATTTTTTAGCTTTGAAGTAATGAAAAATCTTGTTGGGGGAGTAAGTAGCCATCATTCTGGGTTGAAAAGTTTTGAGGAGGTTATGGATTTTATTTAAACTTTTTATTTTTCTTTTTTTCAATATTTTGATGATAGCAGATGCTGGGTTTCAGAAAGTTGAGTATGAAAATCTTGTTGGGGGAGTAGTAGCCATTCATTCTGGGTTGAAGTTTTGAGAGAGTTTATGGATTTTATTTTAACTTTTTATTTTCTTTTTTCATATTTTGATTTGCATGGTCTTATCAATTGATCGTTTGTGTATGATTTTTTAGCTTTTTCTCTTTAGTTTCGCATTTTGATATCCCCTGGTGCTTGTGCTTATATTCTCCTATGTTTGTAGTTTAAGTTGGCGGTTTTAGTGCAACACCGGCTCTCCATATTGGAACAAATATTAAATTGATAAATAATTTTGATTTGGCATTAAATTTGGAAATAGTTTTTTGAGAAGCATTATTTTTGTCAAAAATTCCAAAAATCTTGTTCTTTTAAAAAAATTCTGATTATGTTTGTCAAAAACACTCTCTCTCCTAAGGGCATTTTTGGTCATTTTTATATTATATGATTTTAGATTTACATTTAGCGAGAATTTGATGAATCAAATGTAAAAATAAGTTGAAATTTATTCGGATCTATTTCGTTGATATACTTGTTATAATGATCATAAGGATATTTTAGTAATTTGACATATTTAGATGTCAAAATTTATTCGAAAGTCTTGCAATTCTACAAGTTAGATTTCATAAAAGGTCTTTGTGGTTATAGTTGAAATAGTTGACTATCAAGATAAGATACTTCAAGGTAGGAATCAACAATAAATCACCTCCTCTTCTATCAATAAGAAGACATTTTATTTCTCTATATTTCTTTCAAAATTTAGTTTCTCTTTTCAAATTTCTATTTTAGCTTTTTTTAAAAGGTTTTCACTATCCAAATTGAAGGACATATGATTGAAATTGAAGCACGAATGCAATAAGTTTCCAAATGGAATATTCAATTCACATGCTAGTTTGTATTGTATTCCGAAATTGCAGGAATGTGAAAATTATTCATAAAAAGTCCTACTAATTGTTTTCAAAATTCCATAATAATAATATTTAGTTTTCACAAAGTCTTTATTTTAGTCATAAGTTTTATTCATATTGAATAGTTTTAAGTATTACAAATTTACTTAATATACCGGCAAAAGTATCATTTACCATTCAAATACTCTTAATATTAAAAAAAAAAAATGAGAGAGAGAGAGAGAGAGAAATTATACAAAACTAAAATCCAATACTGTTATTATTAAAACAAGAACAAAATAAGAGAAATGATGCAAATTAAAGTTGACTAAGAGAAATGATGCATACAAAGAAATTTTGGATAAGTTTTCACTCAACTTACTCCAACAAAATTATCAAAAACTAAGAAATAGTCACCACTTTCCTATTATTTTCTTTTAAATATAAAAAAAAATTCAATTTGAATATTCCTAAGTTTTAAAATTATTTACAATTTTTTCATTACAAAACAATCATTTATATTTTTAATACTTAGATTGAATCGGAGACCTAATAGATTGCAATAATATTACAAAACAATCGGAGACCTAATAGATCCGAACCATATGCAATAAACATCCACAACCAGTAATAGTATTATTTAAATTAAATTTTAACTAATTTATAAAAATATCATAGAATAAAGAAATTAATTAAATAAATCGGTGCTTTTCATATTTAATTACATAAAGCAATTTTAACTAATTGGTGTTAAAATATGATTTTTATAGGTAAGAGAATGTTTATATATTTAAGAACCCAATCTAAAATTATTAAAATTGATATCTTAGAGATTTTAAGATTAATACACTATTTTTTAATTTATTATATTGTGCCATAAAATTTTCAAGTTCCAAGTTACTTTACTAACAGTAGAGTTCTACGTCTAATTTACACGAGGATTTGTAATTTTTGATATTATTATTTATGAATTTTCAAAAAAAATTTACAAAAAAGGGCTTAAGCTTTGTCAAATTAATAGAAAATGATGTAGGTGTTTGATTTGACTCCTTATTGATTTATACATTCATCTCCTCTGATTGTAATGATGAATTAATATATTATTTTATATTAATATATCTCTAAATAAAAGTAAGAAAGAAAATAACATTCTTTAATGTTTTCAATTTATACGTTTAGAGAGCAAATATTTGACTGCATTAATATAAATATTTGACACTAAGTCTTTATCTAAAGTTGTATAAATAATAATATGTCCTTCTAAAATACTTATAAACAAACAAATCCACAGCACATAAAAGCTATATGAGGAAGCTATTGGGTGAATAGCTCATTGGTCAAATCTCGACTGAGTAATGCAAGTCATTTATAGTTCAAACTATGAAAATCTGCTTCTTTTAAAAAAAATTTCATAATTTTTTAAATAAAAAAATTTTGATTATTTTTTTAAATAAAAAAATTACAAGAAGTAAATAATCATATATAAGGTTGCGAAAAATCCGAATCATCCCTATCCGACCCAACCCAACTCATAAATATTTGCATATATAAATATGTGTGCATGTGTGTATGTGTACAAGTATTATCTTGTCCTATAAGCTTAACTCATTTTATGTTTGTTATATGTAAATCAATGTCAATTCCTAATTCCTTTGGATCTTTCTTTTAAAATTCTCTTAACCCGCCACATCTATTGCTTCATTTATAACGAGTTTTTTCTTATCATTCATTGATTGCTTAGTAATAGGTATATATATTATGTTTATTTTTAAATCTAATTTTTTTATTATGAATCGAGTTTTTTCTTAATCCATTCATTGATTGCTTTTTAGTAATAAGGTATTATATATTATGTTTATTTTTTAAAAATCTAAAATTTTTTATTATGATTTCAATATATATATATATATATATATTATTTATTTTCTAAATTAAATTTTTTTGCTATTTTTTTATGGTTCTTTTTACTAACATATATATTTATTTATTTTCTAATTAATTTTTTTTGCTATTTTTTTATGGTTTCTTTTTACTACACAATATAAGCTATCTTTTTAAGAGATATGTATATGCATTTATCAACGTAATCTTGAGTTTTTTTATATAATTATAATTCCAACTTTATTTTAATTTTGTTTCATGAGATACAACGATTCATGACATAATAATTGAACCAATTCTAGTAAGTAATCTAAATTTTTTATTAAGTCATTTAAGGAAATAAAATTATTTATTTAATATGCTTGTTGTAGCAGTGATGGACCCATGATTTAAATTAGGGGGGCAAAAGTATATACAATGAGATGTGAAACTAAGATCATGAAAAAAGATCATAAAAAAATAAATAATATGCTTTAATCTTTTAGCTGTTGCTTATTCTTAAATGCATTTCTAAGAAAACAGAACTTAAAATTTTCTGAATGAATCATTTTCAATTGTTTTACGAAGAAAACAATTCCAATAAATTTTTTACAAATTGGGTTACTATAGTTAAATGTTGAATGATTGAATTAAATGAGACTTTTAATTTTGTCTTAAATTTTAAATATTACTGATGAGTAACGAAAAAATTCCAGCAATATATGACTAGTTCAAACAATAATAACAAAATAAAGAAATTCAAATGTTAAGGATGACTCTGACTTACAATTTTTAGAACTCCTTTTTTTTTATTAAATAAACAAATATGTAAATTACTAATTTTAAAATATAGAATAATTATTTTGTGAATATCTAGTTTTATGTTTTTAATTATTGTAAATTTAAAAAAAATATTAAAAAGAAAACAAAAATATTAATTATGCTTTTACCAAGATTTGAGCCTTGGTTACAAGGTAAAACAATCACAAGATTTTTCACTAAGCTTCATTAGACATTAACCTTCTTGTCAAATATATATAAGACTATTTTTTGAGCCAGAGAGGCCATGGCCCTTGCTGGCCACTCCCTGGTTCCGCCATTGTGTTGTAGGTTGCTTTATTTATGGTGGATGATGCTTCATATTTATTAATTTAATATACTTTTCAAGGGGTTGTTATTGGTTAATTTCGGCAAATCATTGATCTCATATTTCATACTTGAGTCCACAGCATATTAATGCATTAGAAGTCAACTTGACTACTTCATTTCTTTGTTGACTAATTGATATATGTGAAAAAATTAATACCCAATTATATATATGTATATAATACTCAAATTGTTAATTTGGTAGTTAAAACTGTAGTTCCGTTCGCATTTTATTTTTTATTTGCATATATTGGATATTCTCATTTTTCAAGTTTTTCTTTTCTCATATTCTTTTTTCAGGTCATAGCTTTTGCATTGGGTATTATATAATAAAAAAAATTTCTATTTTTGTATACTTGATTTTTATTGCTAACTTTTATCCGTATCAATTAATGCTAATAATGAATTTGGTTTCCTTTTTTTAGAATTTGGGTGATGACTCGGATGATCAATTTGGAGAGTAATCAAAATCAAATGAAATTACACTTATATGTGATGATGCTAAGACTTTAGTAAAAAGATAACTCTACCTCAAAAGAGGAAGAGAACCTAGTTTGTTAGTAACAAGAAATGCAAGTATAAAAAATTAAACGTATAACAACATTTTACCTCCAATAAAGGGTACTAAATTAGGTAGAGTTGCATGTAATTAGTATAGAGTGACTTATGCATGTTCATCAGCTCGTGTTATAAAAATTGTGTAGAGACATTAAAATGTAAAAGGTACCCATATAATGCACAAGCACAAGACGAAAAGTAACTTGTCAGCTCTCAAGCAAGTAGGAAACTTTATGAATTAACAAGAATATTACTATGCAACAATTCACTTTTTTTGTGTTCTCATTAGTCACTTGCCTTTGTCTGATTATTTATGTTTAACAAGCCCATAGAATTTGTGTGTTCTCATTCTTTATGTCCGTGTGTGAGATATTTTGGTTGCCACTGTCTTAAAATTTCTCACA